GTCCCTTGTTACAGAACTTTGAATTGATTGTGCTTTGATGACACAGCAAGTCTCAAACACTAAGTGTATTAACAAAATTAAACTGGGTATACAAAGAGTTAATAGGTAATTCTGTCAGTTATGGGTATAGTACCTAAGGTCTGGTTTGCAACATTAACATGCTCAAGTAAAGTTTCTTTCACTCACTCACACATGCATACATGCACATTATGTTTGGAGAGTTAAACCAAAAAATTAAGTATAAAATAAAAACAAAGCATAATAGCTTCTTAACATTAAAGAAAAATGATAATATGACAATCACTAGCATATTGAGTTATAATCTCTAAGCCATTCGCCAGACATAATTTCTATTAGCAAATGATTGTATTTCAACCCCAGTTCTCATCTCTAAAACCTGAAAAGGAATAATGCTAGGGTATCTACAGGCTTCTATAGATGACACATTTCAAACAATTAGCAAAGGAACAAGGCAAATATCAGCTGTATAATTATAGTTATTTTTTTAAAAAAAGCACAACAGTATTAATCATCATGTTATTTAAATATCATTTTTGATGATGAGCTTGACTTCATTATACTTTTGTCTAGGCATGTCCCCCCACTGCCATCACAGCTGTTATCTACTGTGGTTCTGTGACCTTATTATTCATGATAATAAAGGTGATCTCTTATCGCCTCCACCTGATGTTTGACAAAGGAGAGATGATTCAACAAAAGCTCCCTTGTAAGGAAGGGAAACAAAATAAAAAGTATAAAAGAGACAATGCAATTCAGCATAAAAATCTCAGGTAAGTTTATTTCTCTATGCTATCTTGGTCAGGGTTGTCTGCAATGGAAACATTTTAACTATTTCAATGCATTAGCTCTCCATCATAGTAGAACGTCTGTATCAATCATCATCCCCCACTTTATAACTTCCAGTATTTAGTCAGAGTTATTTAACTTATTTCTGTGGGTCCTTGGTGCTCTTTGAGCCTGCTTCTTTTCTTGCAGACATTTTATTACCCAACTAGGTAACATCATCAGAGGGCCCCACAGTTCAACTCTGATTTGAAGCAAGAAATTCTGGAAAGTGAACCTTCTCCATTACAAAGCTTTTGGTCACCATGCCATTATGGCTGGGTCTTCCCATTAGTTCCCATTAGTTGATGCTTACCTAGAGCCAATGAGGCATCTGTTTCAGATTATCCATCAAGAAAGTTAATGACATTTCTGAATCAGCTTGTAATAAGCACAGCATCCTTGAGAATGAATTATTCCTTATCTAATAATGATTACTAACTTTTTTGCATATGCATTATTTTAAACAGCAATAACATAGGCGACAATGGTGCAGTTGAAGAGACTAAGCATAATGGTTCAACACCAACCATCCACAATAGCATCAAAGGGCAGGCTATGCTCTCTCATTACCCTTCAGGAAGCCTGGTTGGTAAACATTTGTCTATAATAATATTCCTGTATTTTTCACTCTATATATGCCACTGGTGTCTTATTACAACAACAAATGCAATATGGGTTTTATTTTAAAAATATCACCCTCCTCCCACCATTTCTTTTTTCCCCCTCAATACAACAATATATACATTGTGCTCCAAGGTTTTGCATGTTACCCCTGGAGAGAAGCAGGATCAGGGAAGCTGTTATGATACATTTTGCTTCATTCCATTAAGAGTAGAGAAGGGAGTGGAATTTTCTTCTCATGGCATTCATGAAACGATAGGTGTTTTTCATTTTGGCAATTACTCTAGAAGTAAACTTGAAAGCATGATGCTATTTATATTTAGAGCCTAGTCTAACAAAGAGTGATTAGCCCAAGGTCAACCAGCAAACTTCATAATTCATTAGAAACATCTTGGGATATCTGGGTCCATATTTAACACTTTAACGACCTTATTTTTCGGAGTATAATATGCACATCCCCCACCCCTAAAGTGAAACTTGCTGTTTGCTGCAACAGGCATATTGTGGGAGGCATAGGCAGATTTTCTTCTTTTTCTAATCAGGCTAAACTGAAACAGGCTGTTTGCTGCAACAGGCATATTGTGGGAGGCATAGGCAGATTTTCTTCTTT